ATTTACTAGATACCCGAAAATTTTGGATCGATTCGGTTCCCGCACCCACCCTTAGCTTTTAATTTCCTTTTGAGTATCCAGTTAGTTAAAGTGGATAATTAATTTTCAAACATTGGCTTAAGCTGTCTCTCTCAAATTTTCGGCTACCTTTCCCGTGTCACTTTACAAGAATTCTCTGTTCAGAAAAATGCTTCGCTTCTTCTCTCTGTTTCCTTCTGTCATCCACTCACTGTAAATCTTTTCTTTCCTTGAATACGTCTTCAAGCACGTACAAATTATACAGCAATGGATATCAAATGTCTCCATTTTCTCTCTCTAACTCTCTCTCTCTTCTTTGTCTCAAGAGCTGCTTTTACACCCGAAGATAATTACCTCATCAACTGTGGATCCAGCACAAGTAATGTTGCAATTGATAATCGAAATTTTTTTGGGGATTCATCAAAGAATGGGAAAAATTATCTGTCGGAAGGTAAATCAACTTCTCTCACAAATCCAAACCCAACTTTCAATTCTTCTGAACTTTACATGACAGCTAGAGTTTTTACTTCTGCTTCGAGCTATGTATTCAACCTCAAGAAAACTGGGACCCATTTTGTACGTCTCCATTTTTCTCCATTCAGTTCTCAGAATTATGACCTCCATAATGCAAATTTTGGGGTTTCAGCAAATGGGTTTACTCTTTTGAGTGACTTCGTTACTAAATTTACTGTGATTAAGGAGTTTATTTTGATGGTAGATAAATTAGAGCTTAAAATTCTGTTCATGCCGGTTAATGATTCCGGTTTTGCATTTGTGAATGGAATTGAAGTGTTTTCTGCACCCAAAGATTTCCTTATCGATGCTGGTGGGATACCATTGATTAGCCCTACTGGAACTCAAGAATTCAAGAAGAATATATCTTTGCAAATTTTAGAAACTGTTTATAGGATTAATGTTGGAGGATCAAAATTAACCCCTTTTAATGACACCCTTTGGAGAAGTTGGGTTCCAGATGAAGATTTTCTTGTGTTGAAATCTGCAGCTAAGTTTGCGAGGACAAGTGATCCACCCAATTACCAACGGGGTGGGGCAACTCGAGAAATCGCCCCGGATAATGTATACATGACTGCACAGCAAATGAATGTTGAAAATGGAACTTCGAATTTTATGTTCAATGTAACGTGGGACTTCCCGGTGAGATCTTCTGTGGATAATATGCATCTTGTTCGATTGCATTTCTGTGATATTGTTAGTGCTTCTCTTAACACATTGTACTTCAATGTATATGTCAATGGGATCACTGCCTATAAAGATCTTGATTTGTCTGTGCTGGCATTTCACGTGCTCGCATCGCCTTATTATATTGATTTCGTTGCGATAAATGCAGATAATTCGAATTCTATTCGGATTAGTATTGGTCCTTCTGAAATGAGTAATTCTTTGAGGAAGAATGCTATTTTGAATGGGGTTGAGATCATGAAAATAGTGAATTCTACGACTTTCCCTCGGAAATCTAAGAAGATAAGTCTTTGGATTTTGGTAGTTTCGGTTGTTGGAGGGATTTTTGCATTGAGTGTAGCTATTTTTACAGTTCTAGCTATACTGAAATGCAAAAAGAGAGAACCAAAACCTAAACCAAGACATATGGAAAGTTCGGGATGGACTCCTTTGCGTGTGTATGGAGTCAGCACCCAGGGCACATTATCTGAAGCAACTGCCTTTTCTCCGGGTGCAAATGGATATTACGCTTTAAAGATTCCATTCATTGATATACAGTTGGCAACGAATAACTTCGACAAGGATATGATAATTGGCTCTGGTGGATTTGGCACAGTTTACAAAGGGGTTTTTCGAGATAATGCAAAGGTTGCTGTGAAACGAGGTATACCAGGTTCCAGACAGGGACTGCCTGAATTCCAAACTGAAATAGCTGTTTTATCTAAAATTCGCCATCGGCATCTCGTTTCACTTGTTGGCTATTGTGAAGAGCAATCTGAAATGATACTTGTTTATGAATACATGGAGAAAGGGACTCTGAGGAGTCATTTGTATGGTTCAGCAGTAACACCTTTGTCTTGGAAGCAAAGGCTTGAAATATGCATTGGTGCTGCTAGAGGTATTCACTATCTTCATACGGGTTCAACACGAGGAATCATCCATCGGGATATAAAGTCGACTAACATTTTGCTTGATGAAAACTATGTTGCTAAGGTTGCAGATTTTGGTCTTTCAAGATCTGGCCCGTGTCTTAACGAGACTCATGTAAGCACAGCTCTTAAAGGAAGCTTTGGATACATTGATCCAGAATATTTTCGGAGGCAGCAGCTTACTGACAAATCCGATGTTTATTCATTTGGGGTCGTGCTTTGTGAAGTTCTATGTGCTAGATCTGCTGTAGATCCATTGCTTGACCGAGAGCAGGTGAATCTGGCTGAATGGGCTGTAGAATGGCTAAGAAAGGGGATGATTGAGAAAATTGTTGATCCTCATCTCAGAGGTCAGATAAAACCAAGTTCTCTGAGAAAATTCGTTGAAACTGCTGAGAAATGTTTGGCTGAATATGGTGTTGACAGGCCAACTATGGGTGATGTCCTGTGGAATTTGGAAAATGCTCTTCAGCTTCAAGTAAATGAAGGGCCGCAAAAACTTCATGAGGAAACAATTGTTGCTTCTGACGATCTCACTAGGCCTAGTGTCATTCCGGGAGATACCTCAAGCAGTCCCAAGGTGAGAGAAGATGGCGATGTTGGCGCTTCAGATATAACCACGAGCCAAGTTTTTTCCCAGTTAATAAACCGTGAAGGTAGATAGATCAAGAATCATGCAGCAGAAGAAATAGTTTCCATTATAATTTGCTTCTAAGTTGCTTGCTCTTATATTCTCAGCTGTTATTATTCGTTTGACACGTTTTTGCTAGAATTGACGAGATGTAGAATGTACAAGTTGGAAAACAAAATATCTTCTTGTACTACTTAAAATTTAGCATTTCTTTCTATTGTACTGTATATATTTGCTGTATACCTCAGTGGTTCAAAATTTTTAGGAATGTTAAAATCTCTCTGAAAATGCATCATTTCTCTATGTTTTCTTCTAAATTGGAGGCAAACGAGGCTTGCTTTATTGACAAGTGAGATCAGGGTCACGTTTGATTCCCATTTTTATCAAAAATATATTTTTTTCTCTTCTTTTTAACCACACATTCTTCATTAAAATAATATTACACGTAAATAAAAAAAATTTCCTTATTTTTCATCCACACATTTTTTATCATTACGATTCTAAATTTCATTTTTTTTTATAAAAATGGGTATCAAACGTCCTCTAGATTTGAAAAATGAAACCATCAAACCGTACAATCGAATCGAAACCACTTTTTTGCAATAGTTGGATTGGGTCTACATGGATCCGTCAACATGTTGATTTTGAACCGAATCGAATCGCTTCCAATGGTTTGATTCAAATTTCAATCTTTGCAAATTGTTAAAAACCCATCAAACCATTTAAAAAAAAAA